GTCGCTGTCATTCTCCTGAAAGTATCACGATTGCCAACACGCCTCTGAGAAGTGGCTGTGTGTAGGTGTAATAGGAATACGTAAGGGCACTCTGGATTTCGTTTTTATTACTTCTTGCTCTGACTCAGTTACACAATAAGTTGTACTTATTCGAGGTCCACTGCTAAATCAAGCCTCTCAGTAAATCGTTGTTTTGTTCAATGGTAAAATGGTACTTCATGTCGCATCAAACGCAACATCTTTCAGTTCGCTTTCCATGCAACTTCGAAAACGAGTAGCGCTGTTGCAGCGCATGCATACTTCTAGCAAAGCCCTAGCACTCTAGCCATAGGTTAGCATCCAGCACTTGTCAGAAAATGCCCGGTGCGGATTATCAGTGAGGCTAGGTTGAAAAAATAGTAAGGAATTCTGATCCTGAAGGTAGTTTTTTGGATCACACCAAATGGATTCACGCAGAAATCTTACAACTAGGGAATCTCACTATCACGCCGAATACGAACATATCCCTGTTGCATCATAACACCTTGTTCCTCATTCTGCTGTACGACATTTCATCATTGAGTTAAACCGTTAATACATTTTAACGTGAAATATCAGGAAACCAAAACTACGTCAGACAGTCAGTATGGGTATACCATGTTAGTGATGTTACTAGAATGCAGCTACGCTAGGCCCTTCGATCCTATATCGCAAATGTCAAGCAATAAAAAGTTGAACGTCATAATAGCCAAGAGCACGCTCGTGACGGTGTCGTCTTTTCTTGAAACCAGAGTTACTGCTGTTGTAAGCTTGATGGCTCTTCTTCAACATAGTTTACTCGATCTGTTAAAATTTTTGAGATATACGATTATAAGAGTGAACCTTTTCGACTTTCAGAAGATTACTGACAATCATTTTTTGCCACTCCTTGAAAATGTCTTTCAATTGTTCGCGATCCACTAGCAGCGACAAAACACGCCCAACGCGTGCAAATCCATCAAACTCCGGAAGTATCACTTGGCCGGTATATAAATACGTGAGCAGCTGAAAATGTGTCAAATTTTTATGCGCATTTGCACAGTACATGTACATGCCGACTTGCCAGTTTGATGATAATATGAGTGCATGCATGCCAGCTTAACGGTCAAACGACCATTCTCGTGTACTCTAACTGTTTAACGTAGCGGTCATTTGGAGCTTTTTAGCCATGCATGCCAGGCATCATTCCTGTTTCGAACACAGAATTTGTGCGAAAATCCGTTATAATCTGGTGCAAAACATAAAAAGAATAAATATTCACGGTATGTCTGTGCTGATATTTGATAAAACGTCTGTTAGCGTTTCGACAGCTCAATGCATACTGTAGCCTTACTGATGGGCAAACAAAGTAATATAAAAGTTTTCAGTTATACAACTAATCCCGAATGCTAAATAATTCTGAGGAGTATAGAAGCCATTGA